CCGTCATATAGCTGGAATATTGCTGAGTGCGGCGATAAACAACAAACCAACCAACCAACCATAATTACGCCGACTTGAGTGCAAATGCACAGCTTAACACAAATATCATCCAAGTTTTCTAACAACTGTGACATACTGAATGAATCTGACTGGAATGAGATCTTGCCTTCCTTTGTTTTTTAGACACAATATGTCTACTGGTTCAAGACACATTTTTTTTCTCTGAAAATAGGAAACCAACAGGTTTTTGTTTTTTCACAACACATTTTTTCACGGGATCAAGACTGTCCTGGAAACATTTATTCTTTCTTGTAAATCTTGACGCAATATTAAGTGTTTCCAGTATTTTCTTTAAAACGCAAATCCCAGCCCTCCAGAATTTCAAATGGTCGGTTCATATAACCAAATTACGCATTTAAGTACCTGCGCTTGTTGGTGATATATTAGCGACGCTATTACCTACTTTGTGCTTTATTTCTGTGTCATTATATCTATCAGTGTCACTAGCAGATTGATTCAACCTTCGATGACCGAGTAGGCTTATCACTGATTTCTCCATCAGAAAAAATGGAATTCAATTCTTCTAATGTCGTATTGGACAATAAATTCTACATTATTCAGAAAATTTAGAATTCTTGTGTCAATGTTCACATAAAAAACAACTTCAAATTGAGAAATTATTATTACAATTTAAGAAATAGTTATGGATTATGTGTTCAGCTCCCTGGGGAGTATCCGAGGGAGAAATGATCCCTATTTCCCCATTATTGTCGTAAGAGGAAAGTAAAATGGTATTAGGTGGTTGAAATGGATCACCTGGTGTGCCATTGGGGTTGATGTTGTGGTGTGTTCATGCTCTCAATCACTAGTTTGTCTGGTCCAGACGCGGTTAGTAGTAGTAGACAACGTTAGTAGCTCTAGAATAACATTGATGATATGTGCACAGTTGTGTCTCACTAATATTGACCCAGAAGGTCCGGTTTAGAATTGGGTTTCAGCAACCCATGCTTGTCGTAAGTGGCGACAAGCGGGATCGGGTTGTCAGGCTCGGTGACTTGGTTGATGCGTGTAATCGTACCATATATCGATGCCCATCACTGGATTGTCTGGTCAAGGCTCGATTATTTACAGACCGCCGTCATATAGCTGGAATCAATCTGCAGATGGTACACCATTCTTATATATCCTCCTACAATGTGATGGATAAATTGATGGCACACCATTCTTATAAATCCTCCTTCACTGTGATGGATAGATGGACGGTACACCATTCTTATATATCCTCCTACAACGTGATGGATAAATTGATGGTACACCATTCTTATAAATCCTCCTACAGTGTGATGGATAGATGGACGGTACACTATTCTTATGTACCCGCTACACTGTGATGGATAGATTGATGGTACACCATTCTTATATACCTCCTACACTGTGATTGATAAAATGACGGTACACCATTCTTATATATTGAACCAAATTAAAAACTTCACAATCCTAAAACTTTAAGATTTTGACCAGTTATCATTGTGGGCCCCTATTGTGTATTTAAACAGTAATGGCCACATATTGTCTTCAGATAACACCCGTTTTTGTGCAGGTGAATCGATCAAAATCATGTGCACAGCACTATACTGGCAAAAGTGGTTTTTCACGAGCAACTGGTCACGTGGCCATAATACCGCACGTGTTTTCAGCCATACTTGTTAGCAGTCATTAACAAAAAAAGAACACACAAGAAGTCTTTACGGCCATTTGTCATGCCACGTCTTTCAAATGTGCAACGTGAACGTGCCATCGGCATGTTGCAGACGGGAACGTCCGCAAGGATGATGGGTTGTAGTCGACGGACTGTTTATGATTTACAGACGCGTCTACAGCAAACGGGTACCACCGCTAATCGCCCTCGGCCAGGTCGACCACGTGTGACGCCACATGCAGAGGATCTTCAGATTGTCTTACGTCACCTCCGTAACCGACTTTTGACGATTACATCAACCAGAAATGAACTGTTTAGGGGTAGGCTGAGTGCGCAAACTGTTCGAAACCGTCTGAGAACTGCTCACCTTCAAGCACGACGGCCATACTGCGGGCCGATTCTGACTCAATTACACAGACGTCAACGTCAATTGTGGGCACAGCGACACTTACGATGGACTCAGAGGAATTGGAATCAAGTAGTCTTCAGTGATGAATCCCGATTTAATCCTCGATTTGCTGATGGTAGGGCGAGGGTGTGGAGGCGCCGTCATGAACGTTACGCCCAGTGTTGTGTACAGGAAGTTGACAGATTTCAAGGCGGAAGTGTCATGGTGTGGGGTGCTTTCTGTGGCAATGCACGTTCCAGGCTTCTTGTCATCCGTTGCAACCTCAACGCTGCTGCTTACCGCGACCAGGTACTGGCACCAGAACTTCTGCCTTTTATGGCGGCACACGGACCCTTCCAACACGACAATGCCAGACCCCACACAGTAATTTGGACAAGGAATTTCCTTCAGAATGCGGGAGTCAACGTCATGGACTGGCCGTCAAGGTCTCCCGACCTCAATACCTTCGAACACGTCTGGGATGCTCTTGGCAGAAGTCTGCGCACTCTCCAGAACCAACCACAGAAGTTGCAAGATCTTGGCACCATTTTGCAGCAACAATGGCGTCGTCTTCCCAATCATGTGTTCACAAGCATCACAAGGTCCATGCGGAGGCGTTGTGTGGCAGTTGTCAACGCACATGGTGGCCATACACGCTACTGAACTTGTGTGCCATTAGATTCTCATGCTTGGGATTTAAACTGTTGATGTTATTACCGAATACCGTAGGTGACTGGAACAAATTACCACCGTTAATTAAAATCCTTCTTTGGACATTAATGATTAAAAATTACCTTCTCTGATACATTTGTCCGTTGTATATCCTATATGGGATTACTCTTAAAAATGTGAAGTTTTTAATTTGACTCAGTATATATCCTCCTACACTGTGATGGATAAATTGATGGTACACCATTCTTATATATCCTCCTACACCATGATGGATAGATGGACGGTACACCATTTTTATATACCCCCTACACTGTGGATAGATTATTGATACACCATTCTTATATATCCTCCTACACTGTGATGGATAGATGGACGGTACACCATTCTTATATACCTCCTACAATGTGATGGATAGATGGACGGTACACCATTCTTATATATCCTCCTACACTGTGATGGATAGATGGACAGTACACCATTCTTATATACTACTCAAAAGATGTTAAAGATCACCTGATTCTTCCATATTACAATATTTAATCTCATGCCATGACAGATTAACATTACCAATATGAAAGAATCGGGTGATCCTTAACTTCTTTTGAGTAGTATATATCCTCCTACACTGTGATGGATAAATTGATGGTGCACCATTCTTATATTTCCTCCTACACTGTGAATGAGAGATTGCTAGATTGACGGTACACCATTCTTATGTATCCCCTACACTGTGATTGATAGATTGACGGTACACCATTCTTATGTACCCCCTACACTGTGATGGATAGATTGACGGTACACCATTCTTATGTACCCCCTACACTGTGATGGACAGATTGACGGTACACCATTCTTATGTACCCCCTACACTGTGATGGATAGATTGACGGTACACCATTCTTATGTACCCCCTACACTGTGATGGATAGATTGACGGTACACCATTCTTATGTACCCCCTACACTGTGATGGATAGATGGACAGTACAGAATTCTTATATACCTCCTACACTGTGATGGAGAGATTGCTAGATTTACGGTACGCCATTCTTATATACCCCCTACACTGTGATGGATAGATTAACGGTACACCATTCTTATGTACCCCCTACACTGTGATGGAGAGATTGACGATATACCATTCTTATATACCTCCTACACTGTGATGGATAGATTAACAGTAAACCTTTCTTATGTACCCCCTACACTGTGATGGATAGATTGACGGTACAACATTCTTATGTACCCCCTACACTGTGATGGATAGATTGACGGTACAACATTCTTATGTACCCCCTACACTGTGATGGATAGATTGACGGTACACCATTCTTATATACCCCCTACACTGTGATGGAGAGATTGACGGTACGCCATTCTTATGTACCCCATACACTGTGATGGAGAGATAAACCGTACACCATTCTTATGTACCCCCTACACTGTGATGGATAGATTAACGGTACGCCATTCTTATGTACCCCCTACAATGTGATGGATAGATTAAGGGTACGCCATTCTTATGTACCCCCTACAATGTGATGGATAGATTAACGGTACGCCATTCTTATATATCCTCCTACACTGTGATGGAGAGATTAACGGTACGCCATTCTTATGTACCCCCTACAATGTGATGGAGAGATTAACGGTACGCCATTCTTATGTACCCCCTACACTGTGATGGAGAGATTAACGGTACGCCATTCTTATGTACCCCCTACAATGTGATGGATAGATTAACGGTACGCCATTCTTATATATCCTCCTACACTGTGATGGAGAGATTAACGGTACGCCATTCTTATGTACCCCCTACAATGTGATGGATAGATTAACGGTACACCATTCTTATGTACTCCCTACACTGTGATGGAGAGATAAACGGTACACCATTCTTATGTACCCCCTACACTGTGATGGATAGATTAACGGTACACCATTCTTATGTACCCCCTACACTGTGATGGATAGATTGACAGTACACCATTCTTATGTACCCCCTACACTGTGATGGATAGATTGACAGTACACCATTCTTATGTACCCCCTACACTGTGATGGATAGATTGACGGTACACGATTCTTATATACCCCCTACACTGTGATGGACAGATTGACGGTACACCATTCTTATATATCCTGCTACATAGTGCTAGACAGATTGATGATACACCATTCTTATATACCCCCTACGCTGTGATGGAGAGATTGACACCATTACAACACACAAACAAAAGACCTATTTACTTTCTGTTTATTTCTTATCGAAATGAACCTTTGATAACATACAAACTTTACAAGGACGACATCTCGCCATCCATTATTTACTCCGTCTTTCAGTTTCAGTTCTTATTACTCATTAATAAAACACTTTAGGTAATTCAATCTACCGGTACTGCAAACATCTTATTGAAAAGTTTCCCAGCATGGCAATACTATAATATGTGTCAAATGGACATGTACAGCCATGACATCAAAATGTCAATGTTAGCAAATAACAACCTATATATGCATCAATAAACAATTGCCTTCAATGAAATGTCACTTTCTTCAAACAAATTTGAATTCAGACTCTGAGACTGACTTTAATTAGATGAAATCCTTTTGGCACATCACTAACAAATTACTGAATCCAACAAACAAAATCACAAATATAGTTACTCTTCACAATCTAAAAGCACTTTTTGCTGCAAGGCATAATGAAAATGACATTTTCCTCTGAACATTTCTTCTTTCTTAACAACGGAGCTGTCACCATTTCCTTTGCACTGTCAGAGTGAGGGTGTTGGGGTGTGGGTGTGTGGATGTGTGTTGGATGTGTGTGTGGGTGTTTGGGGTGTTGGGGTTGCAGGTTTGTGTGGTGTGTGGGGCTGTGGGGCTGTGGGGGCATGCAGGCTGGGTTGGGCTACAATGTCATGGCCAGCCAGGCGCAGATGATCATCATGCCACCGTAAGGAGTGATGTACCGGACAGATGTGTTGCCGCTCAAGGCATGGTAGTAGCAACTCCCGGAGAACAGCAGTGTGCCCACCGTCATCAGCGAGCCCACCTGAAACATAGGATACATAATTAGTGGGGGGTTGTCATGACTAAACCTGAAACACTAGACCCACCAGACCATCTGCGTGCAATAGGAGTCACCATCAGAGCAACGGAGGTTGGTTTAATTTATCAGCACAGGTCTGCGAGACATGGGGGTGCCTATCATAGTGACAGAGGTGGTTTAACTTACCAACACAGGTCTGCAAGACATGGGGGTGCCCATCAGAGCGACGGAGGCGGTTTAACTTACCAACACAGCTCTGCGAGACATGGGGGTGCCCAGCAGAGCGACGGAGGAGGTTTCACTTACCAACATAGCTCTGCGAGACATGGGGGAGCCCATCAGAGCGACGGAGGAGGTTTAACTTACCAACACAGGTCTGTGAGACATGGGGAGCCCATCAGAGCGACGGAGGAGGTTTAACTTACCAACACAGGTCTGTGAGACATGGGGAGCCCATCAGAGCGACGGAGGAGGTTTAACTTACCAACACAGCTCTGTGAGACATGGGGAGCCCATCAGAGCGATGGAGGCGGTTTAACTTACCAACACAGGTCTGCAAACCATGGGGGTGCCCATCAGAGCAATTGATGTTGTTGAACTTACCAACACAGCTCTGTGAGACATGGGGAGCCCATCAGAGCGATGGAGGCGGTTTAACTTACCAACACAGGTCTGTGAGCCATGGGGGAGCCCATCAGAGCGGCGTAGGCGGTTTAACTTACCAACACAGGTCTGCAAACCATGGGGGTGCCCATCAGAGCAATTGATGTTGTTGAACTTACCAACACAGCTCTGTGAGACATGGGGAGCCCATCAGAGCGATGGAGGCGGTTTAACTTACCAACAAAGGTCTGCAAGACATGGGGAGCCCATCAGAGCGATGGAGGCGGTTTAACTTACCAACACAGCTCTGCAAACCATGGGGGTGCCCATCAGAGCAATTGATGTTGTTGAACTTACCAACACAGCTCTGTGAGACATGGGGAGCCCATCAGAGCGATGGAGGCGGTTTAACTTACCAACAAAGGTCTGCAAGACATGGGGAGCCCATCAGAGCGATGGAGGCGGTTTAACTTACCAACACAGCTCTGCAAACCATGGGGGTGCCCATCAGAGCAATTGATGTTGTTGAACTTACCAACACAGCTCTGCGAGACATGGGGGAGCCCATCAGAGCGATGGAGGCGGTTTAACTTACCAACACAGGTCTGCAAGACATGGGGGAGCCCATCCAAGGGGCGGAGGAGGTTTAACTTACCAACACAGGTCTGCGAGCCATGGGGGTGCCCATCAGAGCGACGGAGTGGACCAGATGAATCATGTAACCAGTTCTGAACGTCTGAAACAACAACATGGTGTCAAGCTGAATAACCTTGGAAAATACAGGAAAATACAGACTTTTTCATCAAAGACTGAGCCTTGAAATTCACTGGCTAGTCATTGATGTGGTTGATATATGGAGGTGTGGCTAGTCATTGATGTGGTTGATCTTGGGAGGTCTGGCTAGTCATTGATGTAATTGATCTCTGTAGGTCTACTGCTAGTCATTATGAGATTCATTAATCGGAGCAGTGTAAGAAAGTAATTGAATTTGTATATCTTTTGTATTTTATACATACGGTCTTGTCTCCAAACACATGCTCACCTGAGTGTACATTACAAAGTTCAGTTTACAAAAAAGTTGTCGTCAGTATTGATATTTAATTACTTCTGCAAAAATACTGAGGAGGACTTTGATAAATATGAAACAGGTAATGCAACAAAAAAAGGATTTTAGCAACTTACTGTTTTATTCGTTACTTCACCATGTTTACTTTACTGATTTTATACAAACTTTAACCTTTTTAAGAAGAAAACATTTAGGCGGAGTTTCAACAAATATACTTCAACAGATTCTGAGGGGAAAAAAGAAAAATGCTTATCTTGAAGCCTGACATTTTGAAGAAATTTGATGACTGAAAATCTTATATTCCTTTGCATAGATTGTAGAGGAAAAAAATATGAATATCATATGATTGATAATTCTTAAAAATAGTCCGCTCTTGCTGAAGTGATGCAGCCTTCACCGTGAATAGACTGACAAGCTGGAAGGAGTTACCTCCCTTCATTTTATCAACTTACACAAATCCTGAACAATTTTAAGAATACTTTGAACAGATCCCTGCTATCAAAATAGCCCTCAGAAAAAACAAGCTGGTCACCCCTTCATATACAGAAAACCAGATCTCAGGCCAATCATTTTGTTATTAGATCTAAATTTCCATACTGATGGAAGTTGGTGTTTACTGATCCCCTAAGGTAGTGTTGGTTCCGGTACTTGCTGTAAGTGACTAAATGGGTTCACGGGGTCACCAGCTGAGCGCGTAGCTCGGAGAATAGAGGGGGGAGTGGGGGCAGGGCGGCACAACAATGACTGAAAGATAGGAAACCATGGTCCTAAATTCCTTATGGTAGACATCTCCCCGAGGCAAGGGCACCCACTAGCCTTTTTATCAAAGTCTTGTTTCCACCCTTGCCATATCAAGCCCACTTTCCTGTGCTAAATATGATTGTACTATTGCACATAAAATCGTTTCATAAAATCAACATCCACGACTGGTACACCTTCGTAGGAAAGTGATTTACCGCTGCCTGTCTTTGTTGACATGAATATGTCTTTTTCATCTTTTAAACCCCACAACAATTGCCTATGTTTTTGTGTCAGAGATGAACTTGCGAATGTTTTCATTATCTGATCGACTAGGTCCTCGCCTTTGGTAGTCGCCATCTTTGTGAAGCTATACGAGATAAGAACAGCGATCTGATTGGATATTGCATTTTTATTACGAGTGGCACACCTCGTGATCTACGCGAGGTGGCGCCAGGGTTGAGCCAAGAAAAGGGCCTTGATGTGGCAAGGGTAGAAACTAGGCTTTGATATAGGCTAGTGGACATGCTTGCCACGAGGAGAGGTGTAGTAGAGTGCTAATGATTAAACTCATGTTACAGTCAAACAGTGTTCCTGGTCCCCTATGGAAAATTAGAAATCATGTTTTTAAAAAACACCTGGTGGTGATGGATATTATATGAAGCCGATCACAAATGTTCTTTCGCCAAAGTAATCTGGACAAACATGTACAGTGAGTGAACACTTTTAACAGTATTCCAGTTACATCACGTGGGAGGAAAGCCTGAAGTGAAGCAGGTCTAGACTTTCACCACTACCACGGGTATGGTGCTGACAAACCTAGTAACATAATCGGGGCGAACCAGGATTCAAACCTATGATCGTAGGTTTCTAGCGTCCCTAAGGGATGCAACTCTGCATGGCAACTTGAGGTGCCTTAGACGACTGGGCCACCCGTGCCCCTACACATGAAAAAATAACAACCATATGAACATGCTCAATGCACAGCATGATTCCTTGAACAAATAAAAAAGAAAAGAATTCTGATGATTCAGAAATTGTTATCGATCTCATTGAAAAGGAAGGGGCAAACGCTCTACATTACAGTCGGGTAGCCTAGTGGTTAAAGCGTTCGCTCACTCACTCACATCCTGGACCAACCTCTTGACATTTTGACATAATTTTGCATTTCAAATGCAATCTCCCAAGAGGTGAGGTGAGGTGAGGTGAGGTGAGGTGAGGTGAGGTGAGGTGAAGTGAAATGGTGTTATACGTCGCGTCCAAGATTATTGCACTTATACAGCGACTTGCATGCATTATAGTGATAACCCACTGAGATACCATGCCGCATTCAACATGAACACCCCACTCAGACACAGTATACTGACTCCGAGCCGACCAGTCCTTGTTTTAGCCCTTAATGCCGAGCACCAGGCAGGGTACCATCTTTTAATGTCTTTTGGAAGGACACGGCCGGGGATCGAACCCCTGAACTTCCGCTCTCCAGGCGGACACTCTACTACTAAACTACGGAGGCGGTCCAATATCCCAGGAATGCAGGATTCACCAAGTGAGTGAGTGAGGTTTGGTTTTAATGCCGCTTTAAGCAGTAGTTCAGTTACGTCATGGCGTTGCATGATCTCAGTATTTCAGTGATGCCGATCTAAGTATTCACCACTTTCAGGAATTTACCTAGACCTGGTCAGAGGCCGATATACGACCCCAAGTCAGCAGCCAGTGTCCAAATTGGAATCACAAACTTCCCAAGTCATGTAGCTATAACCAATGATATGGCTTCATGGAGACTTGTATTTCACTGATAACAGGACCAGTAAAGAGGACTGAAAGTTCTGACGTGCTCAGTTTTACACTAGTGCACTGAATGCAATTGAAAATACCTCTTAATTTGAGAAAATAAGAACTCTAACAAAATCAAATTTTTAACAAATGTCAACTCTTTCCCAGTTTGGAATCCTGGATAAATACTTGACTTAAGTGAAACCCATATGCACAGGTTTAGTGCCAACAGACCCCGAAACAATAGAAATTTACCAATTTGATTTGAACCCACAGGCATTTGGCAAGCCTTAGGGAAGTGGCCAGTTGCGAGGTCTTACAACACATTATTTTAGAGGAAGCAAATCGTGTTGCCATGTTCGAAGTTTTGTTTGTTTGTTGTTTAACACTGCACTCAGCAATATTCCATCTATATGACGGCGGTCTGTAAATAATCCAATCTGGTCCAGACAATCCAGTGATTGACATCATGAGCATCGATCCATGCAATTAGGATCGATGGCATGCATCAACCAAGTCAGCGAGTCTGACCACCCGATCCTGTTAGTCACCTCTTATGACAAGCATAGTCGCCTTTTACAGCAAGCATGGGTTGCTGAAGACCTATTCTACCCCGGATCTTCAAGGGTCACATTTAACTGGGATACGATGGCATGTTTCAACCAAGTCATGGAGCCTGACCACCCGATCCTGTTAGTCGCCTCTTGCTCAAAGCGCTAACACCATCAATACCCAGATCAATGGATCAGTGTCCACTTAAATCTTTTTTCAGCTCCCTGGGGATCATACAAGCCAAGCTGCCTATGGGGTGCTAGAAGGTTGACAGTTACCATCTGATCCTACTGGGTACCCATTCACAGCTGGGTGAAAGGAGGCATATTTCAACAAAGTCACTTGCCTATGGATACACCATGCTACACATGCTTCAGTGTGGGGCAGGACCGAAGTCCTAGAAACTAGCAGGACTCAAGCTGACAAACGCAGTCACCTATCCCACTACTTTCCGCGACCGACATTGTTTAACTTTGCCTAATTTTTGACCTGTGCACTGTGGACAGGACCACGTACCACCACATATGCCAAACACACTCTAGTTGAATCATTGTGGAGTGTGCGCGTTGAATTTTCGACCTTTTCTCTCTCTCCAAAAATATGTAACAAATTCAGTGCTCCCGAACCATACTGTATGTATGATTAGAAATATGTATGATGTGGTAAGATTTAGAAAAATTTCAAATGCAATGATAAATTGGATCAAAAACCCTCCTTGTTCATTTTTAAAGTAATTCTCACCATGGTTCAATAACTCTATTGATTACATACTTTGTGGTAGACTGACATCTAGTCTCTGAAATGAACATGTGTTACAGAAAAAAACAGCTGTTAAATTATCTTAATAAAAATATAAAAATAAGGTGCCCAGAAACTCTCTTCATTTTCAGACACTGCAGTAATCTAGACTTGCCAAACATTATAGACTTGCAAGGGCTGTATTGGATATATTTGTGTCAGGGTCTGTATGACAGATTAACAATGTGGCACTGTGCAGAGTAATTCCCTCATACATAAACAATTAATACATAACTTAAATATTAGAGGAACACTTTAAATTTGATTATATTAATTTTAACACCCATGTGCTTCATATGTAAGGAGTATATATTTCTTTGGTTGTAAAACTGGTTCACAAGCTATTTTACTTACGTCTTTTAATCTTTCGTCAGCATAACTGGGACGGAAAACTGAAACAAACAGAATACTCACTGAAATGATGTCCACGACATCATAACGGCAAATTCCCCAAGTGGAAAATGTCTAAATGACGAAATCACACAAATTCTATTGATTTTTTATCAGCAAAGTCACTGTTAAAGTACTTCATGATCCTCTCAAAATGACATCCATATATTTTTTTCTACCACATTTTGCACCGACCCTGAAACCCTCGCTGTCATAGTCATTTAATTTGGATGCTGTGTGCTCTGTTCAAAAGTGAATTTAGCTCCGTGAAATCTACATAAAAAAACCAGTATGCATTTGCCATTCAACTCAATAATATGAGAAAATCTTTGGTGTTAGCAAAGATAACGAGTGAAGCGACATGGCCAATGTTTTGAGTGAATTGTTGTTTTAGCTTTATGCACTCAAACAATGATTTTCACATCAAAATATTTTACGTGTGGCAGATGCTTTATAAGCAAACATTTTGTGGTCACCCATAAACAATATGATTGCACGACTTAGTTCCAAACCGAGCATCACAATTATGAGTGAGTGAGTGAGTATGGTTTTACGCCGCTTTTAGCAATATTCCAGCAATATCACGGCGGGGGACACCAGAAATGGGCTTCACACATTGTACCCATGTCGGGAATCGAACCCGGGTCTTCGGCGTGAAGAGCGAACGTTTTAACAACTAGGCTACCAGACCGCCCCTCACTATTATGAAATAATAACGCTTGTTGTGATGCAAAACATGACGTCACAGTCAGAGACAGAGCAGTGCACAATTTGGAGATGTTTTCTCTGATAACTTGAAACACACCCTCTTTGTTGATTTTTCTATCACATTTTCAGCCCAAAATGTATTGCCACACTATCGTGTTACGATACAGTGATATAGTATCGTATCGTATGTATACAAGGCTCACGATACAATACTGTGATTTACTGTAACCTTAGGTTCCGGGTACTTTACCCTTCTACCTGTGGTCACTTGTACTTATCAACCACTCCTTGGTTCTAGGGATGATGTAGCTCTCTCAAAATCACAAGTCAGATGGTTTGCTCCAGTCCTTTTTATTTATGATAGAATTAATCATAAATATACACACATGGTCCTCAGATAAGTTCTTGTTGTTGCCTGAATTACTTAAGTACAACACAAAACAGTATCGCGATACAAAGGATACATTACTTTAGAAGTTATATTGATGCATAAATATGTGATGATAACAGAAACTATTCAACAACCAGCTTATGCAAATTCTCTAGTATTTCCCTTTTGGTTATAAATAGCATAACACAGCGCCCTCTAGCCTATATGTTTCTGCCCTTCAGTATGCCATCTTCCATCTCATCTAAAAAGAATTGATTCAGGGTTGTGAGTGGATACGATTCTGGATAAAAATGGTATCGGACCCATACCATCGGGATACGAATAGTATCGTGACCCGACCATATCGTTAGACCCACACAAACCTTAAATATTGTAGTAGCCACTGCACTTTGTAACAGACAATAATCCAGTATTTTTGAAAGTCGTGGCAGGATGGGGATCGTTCAGTTGCTGTTTGGGGGAACAGCACACAATAGTGTGGACCAGTGAAGCTCCAGGTAAGGCTAGGTGTCACCAACCCATGCTTGCAGTAAAAGGCGACTATGCTTGTAGTAAGAGGCGACTAACGGGATGGGTGGTCAGGCTTGCTGACTTGGTTGATGCATGTCATCACATCCCAATTGCGTGGATCGATTCTCATGATGTCAGTCACTGGATTGTCTGGTCCAGACTCGATTATTTACAGACCGCTGTCATATAGCTGTAATATTGCTGAGTGCGGTATTAAACAACAAACAAACAAACACAATAGTGTTTTGTGTGCAACTCAAACACTGACATTACTGCAGGGTCTTAACTCAACAGTTGTGGAAATAGATAAAACTTCAAACAGATACTTTTCCTTAGACTACATATAGTCTCTGAATGAACAGTTGTTCAGTTATCTTAATAAAAATCTAATAAAAAGGGAGCCCAGTGATTCTCTTCATTTTCAGATACTGCAGTAATCTAGACTTGCCAAACATTATAGACTTGCATGGGCTGTAGTTTATATAAATGTATCAGGGTCTGTAAGACAGACTAACTTTTCTTTGACACAAGGCAGAAGCTTGGACTGACATTACCAACAGTTTAAATTAAACAGTTTATACAAAACAGGGTTAAAGTTTAGGGGAAATTTTGAATTCAATATTAGTTCACTAATGATCAAACTTTTCATCCCCTTTTGGAATTGTGGTTAGAAAAGGTCCCAGCAACCAGATAGATCACATGATCAGAATCAGTGGCTTGTTTTATTGCAACACCATACACCAGCATCATGGATCACTACTTTTGAAATCAATTACTTGAATGTCTAGTCCAGATATTTACAGGACACTGTCACATAATGTAAATATCGAAATTAATGTGTCTCATAATAAATTGATGCTGACCCCTAGCAAAAAATGTGACTCAATATCAATGCGACTCCCCCGACTCCATCCCCAGTGGATTGATACATATCCTTACCTTAATGCAACCTTACCTTAATCCAATCACTCACATTTTTCGCATTTAATTCACCCTCGCATTAATTTCAAGATTTACAGTAGCTGGAAATTTGTAAAGTGTGTGTGACAACATTCCTTTTGACTTTTAAATGTTTGAAACAGATAAAGCTTCATGTCAAGTTCAATGCATGACCAGATCGTTTATATCTAAATACATGTATTGTATTTCCAGCATCTACTAGAGGTAATACGGTAGAATTGCATGGTGACGTAATGATGACGTCATGCAAGCGTGTTACGTCACAAAGACTCAATGCAATCGTGCCTGCACTTAGTTTCAGTTATCAAAGCTTTTTAATTAATTTTATAACGCTATCTTATGTACAACGTTGATAATGAGAAGTAAAAAAATCCCACCGTGAGCCCCGTATGCTCCCATTGCCACGGCAATAGCGCCTGACAAGCCGGCGAGGCGATAAAATGCGTTGGGTCGAGCCATTTCAATCTCTCGGACTATCACTTTTTCGATCTCCTTAGATGATGGCAGTCCGGGAATGTAACTGTAAACTGTCGAAAGCAGGCCTTGAGTGACTTTCAGAACTTCAGCCATGCTCTACTCGAGCAGAACACAAAGTCCACACGATTTCAGTCGAGATAATATTCCAGTCGTGGACAACTTTGTGGCCAGGAATTGGTGTAAGGGAGATAACTCTAAATTATTCTCAAACATTTGCCATGACAAGTACTGAAAAGATCAGTTTGCTGTTTTTGTTTCGAAAAAAAACCCTAAGATCGTTGATATAAAACACTTAAAGTTTGTTTTGGGTCTCCGTTTTTGTTAAATGTATTACTCGGACCAAACTATCAGCAATTTTCTAACACGAGTTCTCGGATGAAATAATTATCTCCCTTTGGCCGCTCTTCGGTATGTGAAACAAGTGAACTGAAAGCTTCCGGAACAGAAACGTTCATGTGCATTGCGACGACGTATGTGTAACTAATCTGTGGTAATAACGAACTCGCAAGTACAGTAGTTTATTTTATGAACTGATAGGAAGAACAAACATGGCGCTTGATTTGAACAAAACAGATCTATATCGTTTGCTCGGAGTTGGAGAAGATGCCACCGAAAAGGAAATGGTGAAAGCTTACAGAAAGACAGCCTTGAAATGCCATCCTGATAAAAACCCGGACAATCCAGACGCGGCCAATGAGTTTCAGAGACTTTCTAAAGCACTCGAGATCCTCTGTGATGTTGCGGCAAGAGCTGCCTATGATAAGACCAGAAAAGCCAAGAAAGCGGCCGAGGAACGACACAAAGTTCTTGACAGCAAGAGAAAAAAGTTCAAAGAAGATTTGGAAGCGAGAGAACGAGCGTTTCAAGATCAGAAATCAGATGATTTTCGGGCGCAGAGAAATTTAGAAGCAGAAATAGAACGATTAAGAAAACAGGGCTCTTCGCTTCTTGAACAAGAGCAAGAATATTTGAAGGAACAGTTAAAAAAGGATAGAGAAGAAGCGATAAAGAATATACCGAAGAACAAGAACAAGGAGGAAGAGCCATCAGCTGTTTCACCCAAACTAAAAGTTACATGGACAGCAGAGAAGACTGATAACAGCAACGGTGGATATTCACATGGAATGTTGCGTGCTATGTTAGGAAAATATGGAGAAGTGAGTGCTCTTGTTATTTCAGGGAACAAGAAAGGACGTGCTATAGTTGAGTATAAATCTCCCAGATCGGCAGATATGGCTTTTAGGAATGAATGTGGTTTGCGAGAGAATCCATTAACTCTGAAATGGTTATCTGGTAAACCAGAAACACCGACTTACGAGACTGTGAATCAGTCATACAGTGATGCAAACCCTCAAATTCCTTCATTTCCCACAGAAAGTGATAGTGTTACTTTCACAACGGTTCCTGAAAAAAACACGCACGCAAGTTGTTTACCCAAGACAAGCCATGAGAGAGATTTTGAAAGCTTAGTTTTAATGAAGATGCGCCAAGCAGAGGAGAGAAAGAGACTTATTGAACAGATGCAAAGAGAAGACGAAGAATCATGATATGTTAAAAAGACATTGATTCATTGTGAAAAAAGTTATGATACTGAGAGTAGTGAAGAAAATGCAACAAGTGCAAGAACATGTTTACAAGGTAAACAGGGAGAAAAGAAGAGGTGTGTAGATTTGATCATATTGATCCCACATGTTCATGATATACATGATATAAGCGTTCCAAGCAGTACTGATGGTAATCCTCCAGAATGTGGGTTTTGGTATTTTAAGGTGTCCACACTAATGAGGTTCACTGGACATGATATCTGCTGGACATGGTCTCAGGTATTTTTTTGTATTTTTTTAACCTGGGTGAATAATTCCATCAACATAATACTGTCAAGTCTCATTAATCCGACACTTGTTAATCCAACAATAGTCTCTACCTGACACAAATGATGGGAACCGACTAAATCAGTGCTGTTTTGACCCGTTAATCCAACAGTCTTGCACTCGGACTCCGACACACCTAATTTGCAATGAACTGCTTAAATCACTATAATCAGTCTTGTTAATCCGACGCAGTGATCAGCGTACTCTGTGGTCATCTGCCAGCGAGTACACAGCCCCGTGTTTTGATGCGAGACGAGTCAGCGAATAGCTGCATATTTCAAGGGGTGCAGAGATAAACTTGCTGAACAATAAACAATTACTGCTTTAAGTCAACAAAACAGAATTTGAATCATAATGTATCATATAGTTGTCCAATTTTCAATCACGAATGTTGATACTACCTAATTTCGTTTATCAAACATACTCGTTAATCCGACATAATCATGTGCATTATGTGCAACGGACAATCTCAGATTAACGGGACTTGACTGTACATTACCAAACATCAAGGAGTTTTACATGGCACATGAAGTTAGATATTGAATTCAGATTTCCATGCAGTTTTTACATGTTCATGTTATCACTTTAAGAATAAGTTTTAGATGTATTTCTGTCAGACTGAAAATTGTTTCATGTTTCAAATTTGGCTATGAACAGTGAACATGGTGAATAAATCTGTTTAAAGGTTGACACATGCTTGCATACTTTGTATTTGGTGTAAATTGATTTCTGATTGAAAACCACATCACGCGTATACTGTGTTCTCTTGGTGACCTCTGTAACTTGATGGTCAAGTGGAAAGAGGGTATTCCCGGAGAGCGGAAGGTCAGTGGATCAATCCCCAGCTGTATCTAAATACTCTAATCAAAAGGGGGCAGTCAGGTAGCCTAGTGGTTAAAGCGTTCGCTCGTCACGCCGACGACCCAGATTCGATTCCCGACATGGGTACAATGTGTGAAGCCCATTTCCGGTGTCCCCTGCCGTGATATTGCTGGAATATTGCTAAAAGTGGCGTAAAACCATACTCACACACTCACTCTAATGAAAAGATATTAAAAGATGGTATTTGTTGTTTCCCCGTCTGGTGCTCAGCATTATGGTGATAAAACAAGGACTAGTCAGCTCAGAGTCGGGGGTATTCATGTTAAACATTTGTTAAACTGTGGTCTGGTATCTTGGTGTGCTAGTACAATAAAACCGACATTAGTCCGGACTAGTAAATATCAAAGTTGTTTTCACCCTTGCCATTTCAAGCTTAATTTTCTGTGTTAATACAGACTTGCTCAGGTTTGGACTATAGCACATGTTGATAGTCCTATCTGAGAATGTTTTACTAAATTTGTCAAATTTACGATGAAATATGACCAATATGTTTGAAGTCTTTCCAACTTGTCAATCATCTCGCCAAAGTACTTAGGGCATGATATTATATTTCAGTGAAAACTTCATCGTATTTTCACTCAAACAATGAGCATTTATCGCAGTGGCTGAGATGCAGTGCTGTTTTCAGACAACTCCAGCTGATGTGCAGTGTTACTCAATACTGTGTAGTCTGGGATCTGAGGGGTAGCCTTGGGGTTAAAGCGTTCGCTTGTCACACCGAAGGCCCTGGTTCAATTCCCCTTGGGTACAATGTGTGAAGCCGATTTCTGGTGTACCCTGCCGTGATATATGCTGAAATATTGTTAAAGGCGTAAAACCATTCTCACTGTTTAGTCTGTGAGCCTCTATTTTTGTAAGAGAAACGTGGCATCAATAAGTATCTTTACTGTGGTAATCTGTTATTTTGTTTGTCTGTCAGGGATGAAATCTGGAATCTTTGAGTTATCTGATCAACCAGATCGTCTGCTATGGTAGTCTTCAATGTGTAGCCTTTCGAAATAAGGACAGCGATCTGATTGGATATCATGTTTTCATCACATGGGGCACAATTTGTGTTCTTCACAGGGTGGCACCAGCATCCACGCAAGAAAAGTAGGCTCGAAGTGGCAAGGGTGAAACCTAGACTTTGAGTTAGGCTTGTGGACACTCTTGCCTTCTGGAAGATGTACTGGTAAAAACAAACAGACACACACAAACAGAAGTGCGTTCACTTTGCTTTATCAGTGGAATAACATTGAACATGACCTTAAACCCCATTTCACCTCACCTGTAACTGGATTGTTTGGTTTGTTGTTTAACACCGCACTCATCAATATTCCAGCTATATGACGGCGGTCTGTAAATAATCGAGTCTGGACCAGACAATCCAGTGATTGATATCATGAGCATCGATCCAGGCAATTTGGATCAATGATAGGCATCAACCAAGTCAGCAAGTCTGACCACCAGATCCCATAAGTCGCCTACGACAAGCATAGTCGCCTTTTACGGCAAGAATGGGTTGCTGAAAACCTATTCTACCCCGGATCTTCACGGGTCTCCTGTAACTGGAGAATGGACGCAACAGGTAAAGGAAAAGTCTTAAGAAATACACTTAACCATTACACATTCATGGTGGTTATGGCACTGAATTTACATATCAGTATTCAGAGCTTGTACATTGATCTTTAATCATGTTAATTGACATGGTTGACTGTGAATTTTAGTCCCTGTTATGAAATAACTTGGTCTATTTTACAGTTTAAATTTTATGATTTCCTCATTTTTGCTAACTATAGCCACCGGTCATACCGCAAAGCGATCTTAGCCCTAAGGGCTTGCATACTTAAGCATAGGCTTACAATCATCGTAGCACTAAGATCGCTATGTGGAGTTAATCAAATTTAAATATATAATCATGATATTTGTTTAGCTTATTATCCCCCGCCACGAAGTGGGCGGGGTTGGTTGGTTGGTTTGTTGTCTGACGCCTCACTCAGCAATATTCCAGCTATATGACGGCGGTCTGTAAATAATCGAGTCTGGACCAGACAATCCAGTGATTGATATCATGAGCATCGATCCACGCAATTGGGATGACATGCATCAACCAAGTCAGCGAGCCTGACCACCCGATCCCGTTAGTCGCCTTTCACGACAAGCATAGTCACCTTTTACGGCAAGCATGGGTTGCTGAAGACCGTAATCTTCACGGGTAAGGGGGATATAGGAATGGGTGCCGTCCGTCCGTCTTTCCATCACATTGCGTTTCCGGAGCGGAACACAAAACCATGAGAGATATCTTAACCAAACTTGGCACATAGAGAGGTCTAGTGGTAAACTGGTGCCTTTTGACCGTTTAGGATTTAAAAAAAACAACAATTTTCGAGTTTCCATGGCAACGACTTTGACAGACTGAAAATGGCGGTAATGCTCGTTTCCGGAGCAGATCTTGAAAACCGTACAATATGTCTTCACCAAACTTGGCCTATTGATAGGTCTAGTGGTAAACTGGTGCCGATTGATAGTTTGGGATTTTTTAAAAGTGTGTTATTTGAGTTTCCCTGGCAACGACATTTGACTTACACTGTAAATCACCAAACTTGGCACAGATCTTGAAAAATGTACAACATTTCTTCACCAAACTTGGCATTTAAATAGGTCTTGTGATAAACTGGTGCCTTTGATAGTTTGGAAGTTTTTATAAATGTTTCCTTAACAAGCGCTTAACTCGGAAACTGTTTTCAAATTCTACAAAAACAAATACGCAGGGTTGTCCGAGAACCGTTACCATAATTACCTAATTGAGATGTATACCACTTGACAAAGGAACTTGGACAAGGTCTATGGTGAATTATTGTGAAAACACAACTTACAAGTGGCACCCGAACCAGCATACTTCATCGCATTGCATGGTGGTAACATGAAATTAAACTGAAACTTGAAAATTTCTTAAATGTGCGGAAAATGACTCAACTCATTCACTCTTCAACTCACTGTCTTGGAGCTACACTGGACTTGTTGTTTACTGATCATGCCAGTGCTGTAGCATTCAAGACTCCAGTCTACTACTCAGATCATCAGATGATTGGTGCTGTACTTCTCAGTAGTAGTCAGTGCACCTCATGGCTCTCAATGATCTCCTAAGTAAAGTAAGAACTCCCTTACTTCTCTGATTATTGTTTAGGTAATAACACAACTCATTACAAATACAGTTACGTATTCTATCATAAACTGCAGAAGGCAAAACAACACCAGTAATAACTTTTTTAGGGCTGCAATTAGGCCATTTACAAAAAAGTCCAGTGAACATAGTTCACAGTAGCTAATGCATTGCACACAACCGGACATGTCATATGGGCGGGGGATATGAGCATTTCAAGTTTGTTATTTATATTTTGTTTGTATAAGTTGTTTTGTTGGGGGGTAATTTGTAAAATTAGATTTAATTTGTTTTAAGTGCAGAATTGGTGAGTATCAATTTTCATTTAATACTAAGTTTGCAAAATAATGAATCTACTTTATTTGTGTATGCATTTTGTAGTTTATCATTTTGTTTTTTTCTAATCTAATGAGGACAAGGGAAATTAAGCAAAGGGAAATATGTTTATAACATTACAAAATGCTACTGGACACACACACACACTGATACACAGAGAAACACCTACAATGACTTACAGGCAACCGACTTCAAGTATCTTGTGCAACGCAGCACTCCGCAATATTCCAGTTATACGACGGCAGTCGGTATATAATCAAGTCTGGACCAGACATTCCAGTGATTGACATCATGAGCATCGATCCACGCAAATGGGATACAATGAAATGCATCAACCAAGTCGGCGAGCCTGACCATCCGATCCCGTTAGTCGCCTCTTACGACAAGCATAGTCACCTTTTACAGCAAGCATGGGTTGCTGAAGACCTATTCTAACAGGGATTTTCACAGTTCATAAGGGTTTTATAAGTCACAGTATGTAACATATAGTATGGGTTTCTATTAGGGCTGGGACGAGTCCAAATTTACTACCCCGGGTACCCACTCCCCTATTACCCGACCCTACCCAGGTACCCGCTGTAGGTCTCAAGAGGTAGGTACAAATTGTCCGATTGTGAAAGGTTTGACCATAGCTCTGGTAAAATGTGTTAAGATATGTATGAAACGATCTGGTGTATACACTGAAGTTGACTGAAGCTTTATTTTTATTCAAACATATAAAAGTCAGAAGGAATGGGCGTAGTAGTCAAGAACTGCGAACATTAGTGACTTGTAGTTTAAACATAGGGTTTTAGATACTTTTTGTCATTAAACAATATATCACGTGACTAACCACGGGTCAGGTTAGTCCTGTGGGTACCCGGGTCCTACTCAGTACCCACCCGACCCGAGTACCCGAGTGACCCGTCCCAGCCCTAGTTTCTATACACTACACGTTACATACCGTGACTTATGTACCTATCAATGATATTAGGAATGTGCGACATAGGGCCAACATAGAGACGGTCATATCACAGGGGTGTAATAACCTGACCTGAATGACACACTGCCAGGCTGGTATGGCTTGTCAATGAGTATTGAATGGGCGATCGATATCAGCCGAGGTGGTAAGAAATTAGAGTTACGTCCCTTGATGCGTCGTCTGCTCAGCCAGCTTTCCCATGAAATGACTTCCAAACAAGGTGAAAATTTATTACATTCTCTTGAAAATAGATACAATTGGTGTTGTGGCATATGTTACCAAAAGTTATCATATGCAGTTTGCATATCATAACCCGCATGATTACATTTATAATATAATTATTTCACACATATTCAGTCATATTACACA